GGAGGGCGCAATGAGCAAAATAATGCAGCGCATTTAAATTGTCAACACAAGGAAGTAACTCTATAAAAACGTGCATTACGTCTAAATTAACTCATAAAAATCAAATATAATTTCGTAAATTGCATAAACAATTATGAACAAAACAGCATCATGTATTTATGCATTGCTTAATCCAAAGAGCCGAAGCGCCATTCACACAGACTGCATTTAAAAACATATGGGACGCAGTGAAAATGAATAAACCTCCACAAATTCGTGACGTGTTTTCTAAAAGTTTCAACTGTTTTAACTTTGCATGGCTTTCTATACATCTCTTGTGTGAGACGCGAGTGCAGCAATCATATTTGTCCGTCTAAAAAATGCGCTGAATATGCGTTCTGTGTGAATGGCTTGGTTTCGGTTTTAACCCATTCAAGATCTTCTCCTATTATTTTGAATGCATAACACAGCAGCGGCGCGTCTCATGGGCTAGAGTAGACTAACAAAACATTAAAATGCAACAACGTCACTTACATCATCACCGCATCTCGCGCGCCACTGATGACGTTCCCTGACGCACACCTAACATTCAAATGCAAATGTTTATTTTAAATTCGACTAATATTCATTCTTTATTCACAATCTTCTCATCACAGGCAGGCACAGCACTCAATTCAGCATGTGTTCGTGTTTGTGTGTGCTATCTGCGTCACTCATAGCACGTGCCTATATCGTGCACTATATCGAACAATTTTTCCATCGATATCGAAGAAGGTGTACCGTCGATAAATATCGATACCGTTTTATCGTCCAGGCCTATTTGAGGGTGATTAAATTCTGACAGAATTTTCTTTTTTAGGTGAACTGTCACTTTAAGGGCCTTTGGACATGGAAGAGCTTAAAGGGGCCTCATGGAAAACAGGATTTTCCTATAATATTTTGCAAATGTGTAGAATACGACACTTTTAAATGTAGAATATGAAGATTGCACATACCATAACGGCTGACACTGTTGACTGCGTCAATGATGGCCATGTAGTTTTCATTATCCTCAGTACTTATCTTAAAACCATAAACCATAAAAAAATATTTAGCAGCTGCTGCATAATAACAAAATACATGATACATTACATGGCCAAAAGAATGTGGACACCTGAACACTGCACATTGTTGAGCATTTCAAAGTTGTTTTTTTTCTTTTGCTCTTTAGACTAAATTGAGTTTTTATCGATAAAAAAATAAATAAAAAAATTGATGACTCACATTTTAACCGCATCTATCTGCTTTCAAAATATGACATGTTCATACAAGCCACACTCTCAAAACATGCAGCACTAAACTGACAAAACAACACAATATACACACAACTTCATGTTATTGCACATGAAGTATACCAAAATATCCTCAGGGAAAAGCCTACATATTACAAAGATTTAGCAACACATTATGGTTACGTCCTGTTAGCCTTTACCATCAAAACATCTGTGTGAAGATGAGGATTTCTGAAACTGCTCTGTACCATTGCTAAATGCTGGGTGGGGGTGTGGTGAGGTTTTGAAGCCTGTCTTTGATGGAGTGAGGACGTTCAATAAAGCAAGTATGTTATGAAGAAACAGCAACACCACAATTTACATATGTGACCCTGGACCACAAAACCAGTCATGAGGGTTCATTTTTGGAAATTGAGATGTATACATCATCTGTAAGCTGAATAAATAAGCTTTCCATTGATGTATGGTTTGTTAGGATAGGACAATATTTGGCCGAGATACAACTATTTGAAAATCTAGAATCTGAGGGTGCAAAAAAATCAAAATACTGAGAAAATCACCTTTAAAGGTGTCCAAATGAAGTTCTTAGCAATGCATATTACTAATCAAAAATTAAGTTTTGATATATTTACAGTAGGAAATTTACAAAATATCTTCATGTAACATGATCTTTCTTAATATCCTAATGATTTTTGGCATAAAAGAAAAATCAATAATTTTGACCCATAAAATGTATTTTTTTGGCTATTGCTACAAATATACCCCAGTGACTTAAGACTGGTTTTGTGGTCCAGGGTCACATATGTAAAAATTATTTTCCTTAAGAATTTTGTTTTGTTTTCCAGTACAAATATCTAAGACATTATTAAAATTATGAATTAAGTTTAGCTTTTTCTTAGCTAACTAGCCAGTTTTTGTTTACAGGGTCAAATATTTGTCTTTCGGATGAGACGTTAAACCGAGGTCCTGACTCTCTGTGGTCATTAAAAATCCCATGGCACTTCTCGTAAAGAGTAGGGGTGTAACCCCGGTGTCCTGGCCAAATTGCCCCCCTGGCCCTTGTCAATCATGGCCTCCTAATAATCCCCATCCACTTGATTGGCTCTATGACTTTCTCTCCTCTCCACCTGTAGCTGGTGTGTGGTGAGCGCACTGGCGCTGCTGTCCTGTGGCTGCCGTCGCATCATCCAAGTGGATGCTGCACACTGGTGGTGGTTGAGGAGAGACCCCCCCACATGATTGTAAAGCGCTTTGGGTGTACAACAATACACAGTAAAGCGCTATATAAATGCATCATTCATTCATTCATTCAAATAAACTTAATTCAAGACAATAAACAAATAACTGCTGAGTAGATTACTTACAAATTGTAATCCATTACTGATTCCAAATTACATGACAAAAATTGCAGTTATTAACATAATTCATTACATTACACATTTTAGATAATATAATCAGATTACTTTTTGATTACTTTTGACCTAACTCGTTTATCACATTGATTTGAACAGGATAATCTTGTACCATATTGATATAAAAATACAAAGAGGAAGAAAATATATTCCATTCTTTGTTATTAACATCATGAAGTGAATTAAACATTACGTCAAGGTTTCCCTAACTGGGCTTCATAAAGGAACTGCAGGGGATTTGTGAGTTTAATGAAAAGTTAATAATTAATTAAATCATAAAAATGTAAAATTCAAATAAATCAATTTTAATAAATCATAAATTATTTTAATAAATCATAAAACAACAATCAAAAAAATGCTTACTACAAAAATGAAATATTTTATTTGTTTATCTGCATGTCATGTGACCATTAACCACCGTCAAAGAACCGTGAACATGCAAATGTGATACTTAATTTTAAAATATTTATTTTTAAATCTCAGGAGGTACTTCAAGTAAATATATTAGGTAAAAGAGGTTTAGCTGACAAAAAAAGTTTGGAAATGCCTGCATTACATGTAAATAAGAAATAACATGAATTTGTGCATTTTAATGTGTTTGAAAGACAAAAGACTTCCAAAGACACAGTAATACAGGGTTAAATAACCTTTAATTAATGTGTTCATCAGTAGTTGATGCAGTGTTGAAACACTTCTTAAACCTGAACTGAATTTTGTAAATCCAGTGGTCAAATGCTGTGTAGCCCCCTGACTGTATTGACTGATCTCTGTATGAATGTCCACAAAACGGGAAGACTTTCTGAGTGTACAGTATGTAAGCAGTAGGCTATTTTAGAAAGGAACATTTAAAAGATGAAAAAGAGGAATTAGGGAGAATCAGTAAATTATGAACAATGTATTGCTATTGTGTGAAAATATGCAATCATGTAATCAATAAAAAAAAAGTAACAGTAGTCTGATTACGAGTATTTTAAAATGTAATTTAATCCAATTACAAGTACTTAACTTTTGGAATCTGATTACATCATCCAGATTACATGTAATCAGTTACTACCCAGCTCTGTATATATATATAAAGCTGCCACACTTACCTCAAACAGCACGGCCAACGCTGTGATCTTTCCTGCTGCGCTGAGGGCCTCATCGAGGCCACTGAAAGCATCTGCCTCATAACAGTATATCTGCATCTGCACCAGAAACAAACAGTATCTAATCATTTGTATACAGTCACACTTCCAGTGAAAAGTAAAAGATAATGTGCAGTCGGAAAATAACCCCCCACTTCGTGATCAAGAAAATGACCAGCTGACTGTACATTATCCTGCTTATTAGGCAGTGAGTTAATAAATAATAAAAATAAAAATACTAAAAAAATGAAATAAATCATTATATAATATAATAAATAAATAAAAACAGACAAATAAATATAAATAAATAAATTAGAATTGACATTATTTTATTATGTTGACATACCTCCAGGGGGAATTTTTCATCGTTGAGGCCATGCTCCGACCCATCAGAGGAGGCATTGCACAGGCCCCAGTGGAAAGTGATGCGTCCCACCTTAAACTTGGACCTGAGTCCCACTCCACTCACAAAAAAATCTCCTCCCACATCAATGGCCACTGGAGACAACACATTACAGAAATTAACGGTCAATGTCTAATCACATCAAGTCTGAATTTTCAGGGGGGTTTTCACCTCTGAAACAATGCACATCTATCAAAGGGTTGATATTAAAAATACAATTGTTCTCACCTGTTTTCCCATCATTCTTTACTGTAGTGGAGTCTGATGTCTTTTCCGCCCATCCCTCTAATCTCAGCTTCTGGAATTGAATTTTGACCTGTGTCAGGCTCTCCTCAATGTTTATTGGTGATTGTTTGGCATTGTTGCATGATGGGTATTTCTTTGCCCAGTTATTTTGGTTTAGAGTTCCTGTGGGAAATGGAGTTTAATTGGATAAATAAATAAACCTCTTAAAATCATTCATAAATGTCAGAGGATGATCTCCTGTGCTCCAGTACAAACACATATACACACATAAACTGCATTCACAGACACACAGGTGCATCATTACATATGTAGTGGTTTTCTTGGGGGTTAATCCGAGTCCTCTCTCTGGAGGTCCCTACAGCACAAAAACAAAGCCCATGAACCAGGTCACCAGCAGTTCTAGGTCACTTCCATTAGCATATCAATAGCTGCATTACACCCCCAGCTGAGTCATAAACACTGGTGTACAGTAGAATGCACTACAGTTGAGTCAAATACAGTAGAACATAAACAATACATGAATGAAGAAATAAAAGCTAATGTTAGGCACAAACAAAGTGAAGTTGAGCTAATCTTAGGCACAAACAAAGTGAAGTTGCCAAAACCCTGTTGGGATGGTGTGGTAAAATCACCCTAATGCACAGTCTTAAGTGGCTTATTGGTTGTTTTAAGCATTTAAAACCATATTATTATTTTTATTATTACAAATTAATTTGACAAATTTCTATAAATATATACCATTTAATTTAATAGCCTAAATGTAAATTGGCTACAACTGATTTACATTTAAACTGTTGTGTAGGAAATTATACTAAATTATGTGTAATAATTATATTAAAGAAAGTATAAAAATATATATAAAAATCACAATTTTTCCATCAAGTAACAATAGCCTAAATGTAGACTGCTTATGGTTGATTTACAATTCAAATGATTTGCAAGAAGGAAGGGGGAAAAATCAATCAATAAATCAATTGTTCTGGCAAATAACATATTTTTTTAGCCTAAATTTCCAGATTTCCAGAATCATGAAAATCTTTAGTATCAAACCTCTCGTGAACATTTCCCTTTAACCACATAACAGCGCATAAAAAAATTTAATGTCTGTTTGTGACTATCATAATATTCTATGAAATAATAATAATAGACTTTATGACGGTAAAACAGTAGCAAAATGTGAATGTGAGAACTTGTTTAATATAATGAGTTTTGCTATATGAGCAAATATAGCTATTAAATATTGCTGTTTAATATATGAGTCTTGCTACAGGAATATCGCGAAAGGAGTAGCAAAAGTCAAAGCACTAGGATTTGAAGTTGTACTGCCAGATCTGAGAGATCAGAGTGCTGACTTGTGGTTGTACAGTGAAACTGAAGTAAAGTGCAAAAGTAAATATGTCTGTCTGTGATTTTGTTGATGTGAATGTCATTTTACACATTTGTAACTATTAATCTGCAACTTCAAATTCAAAATATGGTTGTTCTGATTATTGTCTGTGTGTGCAAATCGAAAGATTCAGCTTCTCACATCAGAGCTGTGAGTGTAAATTTCAACTTACAAATTCAAATATTAATATGACAAGTTCTCACATTCAAATCAACAAGCTCTCGAGTTTTGCTACCGTTTTACCTTCATAGGCTTTGTGTTGATGGGTTGTGACCAAGCGGCAACCTCCCGCTCTCTCTCGTGAAGCCAACAAGGAAGTGACTTAAACTGTAATTCAGCAACTGGCCGCTAGAGGCTGGCTGCAAAAGGGAGTCAATCCCATAGACTCCCCATGTTAAAATGCCCAACTTTACAGCAGAAAAAAACGTTTACAGCCTGGTTCAAAAAATGATTTTGGTCTATATAGCTAATTTTGCCCTTGATGACAACTGTGAGGGGGGTGAATTTTTTTATAACTCATCCGTTTAAATTTTATTAAGCCTTAAAGTTCTGCATAATTAAGGGCGTGGCCACTTGAGTGACAGGTGGATTGCCGCTGCTGTCACCACCGTCGAGCTAGGTGGGCGTGGCTTCAGCAACCAGCTCCCGCCTCTTTGCCTATTTTCGATTATCCGGGAGTGACGTGCCGTGACGCACTGCCAAGATGGCGACGGCCGGCTCCGCCCACATTTGAGCTTCAAAAACGCTCTTCGGAAATCTACGGGTGACGTCACGGACACTACGTCCATGTTTTTATACAGTCTATGGTTGTGACATGTCCCTCCATGGCTTCAGTGAACGGGGAAAACTAGACGCCTGACAAGCTGCAGCAAGTGCAAATCAGAGGAAAATGCCAGTAAAATGTCTTCACTTCTTCATTACTTAGCACTGTCACTTCTCTCCTTCCTCAGCGAAGGACTACAGAGAGAACAGAGTACAAACACTCAAAGCTGTCATGTTTCATTTGAATATGTCTGTATTTGTGTCCTTCTGTTCTTTTTGAGAGGATATATTGATATATATATATCAATCCAAGTACACAATATATATAGGCCTATATGACCACATGAATTTTAAGAATCATATGCTTTTTTGTTTGTTTAGATAAATCGTTCAGAAGGGTTTGACCAAACTAGGTTATTTACAAATCATCCAAACACCCAATTCATTTCTAATATTATGACTAAGTAGTATTAAATAGTAAAGAAATTACAGATCCATCTTTGAAATCTGATTGGTTGATAACTTTTGACAATGTTTAATTCAGGTGCGAAAAGAATTAATATCTATAGCGCATGAGCACAGAGAGATTTGCGAGTGCACAGGACACAGTTTGAGTGAGAAGAGAGACACGTTTTAAGTGCGCGCACTCTCTCCGGGCGAGAGCAGCGTGTATCTGAGCACGCATCCGGTTTTGTGCGAGAGCAAAGGAAATCCGCGCGCGAGCGGAGAGATTCGCGCTCGCGCATTGTATTAATGTGCTTAATGCACGCTACAATAATGCACTCTCGACATTTGTCAGTAAAATAACGCCATACACAACCACCTAATAAATGTGGGCCATTCTCAGGAAATGGTGCCATTTAGAATATCAGTCAGTTTGCATGTTACCATTACATCACCACCAGAATCAAACAAAAAACTGTTATATACATTCAAATATGTTATCCTGTGATATTTCCTCTCTTTCGAAGATAATGGTTTGATGTCTGGCATGAGTGACATAATAAATATATAGTGCCTATAGAACAGTGCATGTTGTGCTAATATTTAAACTGTAATTATTTTATAGAGTTAAATGTACTAAAAATGTACTTTGTTGTCAATTCAAATTATAATTAAATAAATTCCAAAACTACTGTGACAGGGTTCAAATGATATTGCACTTTAGGGTTATTAACAATAACTACTGGCACTCTGCAAATCTGGTGGTCCCACAATGTCTAAAGCCTGGTAATTTGGGCCTGAGGTTCAGAAGCAAAATTCATATAAAATGATTAAAAACATTTTCTAGGACAGCTGGCACTGTTTCTTGAGAATGACCATTAACTACATGAGAAGAGAAACCATATCATGCAAAACGACCTGATTCGGCCACTAAAGTACATTTCAGTTATCCACACTTACATAGAAATATGGCTTTCTCTTTATGATGTCAGAATTAGCTTACAGGGATTGATTATTCGTGTTTCAGTATTATTTAGACAACATGAGTGATATGAAAATGGGGTCAAAGAGGAGGAGGGGCCACAGTATTCTGGGTAAAGTTGATGAACGGTGTCCCATCTGCATGACCGACCTCCTGCCTGCAGTCCGGACACTATAATGCCCCCTTTCTTGTGCCAACCTCCAATGACACCCAGATCTGGTTTGTTGTGATGGGTCAAAGACAAGAGGTTTGAGGAGATGGAGAAAGTCTTTCCTAGACTAAACACATTTGAAACTCTGAGCCCCAGGCTGAAGATTCAGATCATTTTTTGAATCATTTTCCAAAGGAACAATCTGTAAATCATAGTGATCAGAAGCTAAATATCAAAAGTGCATAATAATAAGGAGAATATCAAATCTGGCCTACTTTCAATAACAAAGTGAGACAGGGGAATTCTCCATTGTGCTAGAAATGGAAAAGAGCTGGAGATAAAAAGATGAGGGATACAAAATGTGTCACTACTGTTGTTTGATTTGATACTTCAACTCTTCTCAAACTTCAAGGGGCCATATGATAAAAAAACAAGGTTTTTCCTGCTCCCCAGCTAATAAAATTATGCCCAAAGAAGGTTTTGCCAACATTCCCATTAAGTCATTAAACATTATTTCTGAATGCTCTGTGAACGTTCAAAACGTCTATTTTTTTAAGGTTTTTTTTAATATAGAAAATGTTAATGGAACATTTTATCACTTTGCAAACATTATGGGAATGTTACTTTTAATGTTCTCTGAACCATCTAAATTTAGTAAGTAGTAAAAAAAAGGTTAAAAGTCAGTTGGGTGTCCAACTAAATATTTAAAGGGGTGGTTGATTGCAATTTCCCTTTTTTAACGTTAGTTAGTGTGTAATGTTGCTGTTTGAGCATAAACAATATCTGCAAAGTTACGAAGCTGAAAGTTCAATGCAAATGGAGATATCGTCTTTTAAAATTTTGGCAGTGTAATGCATACAAAAACGGCTGGTAGGGACTATAACAAGTTACTTCCCGGGTTCATGACGTAACAAACCCAGATAAACCCCGCCCCTGGGAAGATGCAACAAAGGGGGCGAGGCCATGCTGCGCTGCTTTAGAGAAGAGGAAGAGAAAACTAGAGGTGCACGTAAAAATCTATTCATATATGAATCGCGATTCTGTCTTCTAACGATTCTAATGGATTCACAGTGGTTCTTAATACTGTTCCTCGCGCCCCCTGCTCTGCACACACTCTGCATCTCTCTCTCTCTCTCTCTTTCTCTCTCTCTCTCATTCAGCTCATTAGAAGTTAACATAAGCAGTAGCATTTACAAATAACAGCATATCTAAAAGTATGAGACAACAACAAACAAAAAACATAGGCCTACCATTAAAAGCCGTGCTTGCACAGGTTCTGCACGATCCTCTTCAATAATATCCTCTGCTTCTCAATCGGGCTCAAACTGATAAGCGATATTAACGACGCCTTTGTTTACAATACAACCAGAGCACATGCCGCTGAGGTGAGGGGCGAGACGTTTAGACACACACTAGAGGCAGTTTAGCCAATCACAACACACTGGGCTAGCTAACCAATCAGAGCTCATCGCCTATTTCTGAGGGCGAGGCTTCATGAAAGCAGGAAATGATTAGCGCGTTTCTCAGAGAAGGGACAGAGCGGTGTGGAATAAAGGTAAATTATGTGAAAAATAATGTGTTTTTTTAAAAACGAAGCATTAACACATGTTAGACTGCACCCCATAGACACAATCAAGCCTAGAAAAAAAACAGTGAACCACCCCTTTAAGAAAAACGGTCCATGATTGAATTTTTGTGCTAATGTTTTGGGAATGTTATTAAAAACCAACATTCTATTACCGTTACTGGAAGAATGTTTGTTCATAACTTTGAGAGAACCTTACTGGAACGTTAGCCAAAGTTCTGAGAGCATTCTCTATTAGCTGGATTTTTGATGTGCTGTAAAGATATAGGCTACTCTAATGCAAAACTCCTTCCTCAATGCATGAAAACTAAAATGCTAAAATGCTACATGCTAATCATTTACAAACGGTCATTGTATTGACATTGCAACCTTCAACACACTGAACTACAACCCTCCAGATTTACAAAGACTTGCCCTGGGCGTTTTCCCTAATTTCAAAGGCAATCACAACGAGTCATTTGCATAAAGTCTTAAAGGTGTGTCATCAAGAACAGCCTAAACAGGATCAGAGAAAGTCCTGGAAATTATGTAAAACTAAATTACTACAACAAAAAGTGTACAATATGCCCCCTAAAGCGTCTAAAAATTCATAAATCGTCTTCTAAGATTATACTTTCAAACACTATAAAGACACATAAGCTGTCTTAATTAAATTAACCAATTAAATCAGGCTTTCCATGGAAATACTGGGATTAGTCAGCTTCAGCAGAGATGAACAACACAACGGAGCCACAACTTGGAGTCATACTGCATGAAAGCCTCTAAACACACCCTTTAAACTTTGACATGCACAGTCTGGGCGAGATCAGACAGGACCTGTAATTTAGGCCACATTAACCTTGAAAGCTCAGTTAGATACGGATGAATTTAATCTGTGGCATTAAGCCCTGCATGCTTAGACAAAGATAAAAAACCTAAACCTGAGCTGGCATGGGGGAAGGATGCCACCAGTGCTTCAGTTCAAAATGTGCATCTTTAGAAATTCTGACAGGCCCTTTACACAGACTGAAGTCTAATCGCTATGATCACTATGCAGAGATAATAAACACAATGTAAGTACAGTTAGAATTCAACACTCACCCGCATAAGACCACTCTATGTTCTCTGAGAGTTTTTTCTGTGATCTGAATCCATATGCTTCTGATACATCCGCTGAAAAGAAAAACAAATATCAGTTTATTCCATCAAAGCGAATAAATATGTTTACTAAAAATTGTCAAATGGGCTACTTTGCATTTTTCTAATACATTTTTTTTTCATTACAAATTATATAGTAAAACAATTTGAATTTTTTCAAATATTTTGTATAACACTTTTCATAATACACATTGTTTCAAAGCAGCTTATAATGCATTTGGCAGAATGGAGCTGGGTGATTATAGAGCTGGATGATAATATAATTTACATTTTGCAATGAAATCAAAAAATCAAGAAGCTGAAAATTTCATTTGTTATGCCTACTTTTGCTTTTGTCTCAAATAATTAAATAAATAATTAAATACTTATTATAAATGACACAAATATTCAGGGCCGCATTAAGACCGCACTGGGCCCCGGGGCTATGACTTACTGCAGGGCCCCCCATCACAACAGATAGATAGATAGATAGATAAAGTACATAGATAGGGTACAACGGGGCTAAAGGCCCACCTTAAGAAAAAATGTGCTATTCACTGCGCCTAAAATGAATAATTGCAGAAAAAATATATACGTTGTATTGAACATTAATGGAGCAACAGATTTTGTGTGAAAATAAATCATTCAAGTTGTTTTGTTTAAAAATCTTATAAATGTATGAGGTGGCAAGGGGGGGCCTTTTACTTCAATCAACGATTGATATATTTCTACCGGATTATCTCCCAACCCTTAAATGAATATAGTTTGTTCAAACACAAAAACAATATAAATCCAGTTAATAATCAAACTAACCTAAAATCTGTGTGGACGATGACACTGTTTTTATCTGCTCCGTTTGCCCGGTTCACTTGCTGTTCCAGCAACTTCCACTCCATCATCAGCTTTAGTAAAATAACCTGATAGCTGGGGAATTTACGAAGTCATGTTTTTTATGTTGTTTGTATTTGAAGTTTTTCTTTTTTGAGCCCCTCTCTTTTAGAATTGCTGACATTTTTACTTATTGATTATTGTTCTTTGCGCGACCATTTCCAGATTACTCCAGAACAAAGTGAAGAGAGGTGAATGCAGACATACTGGGCAGCGATCACCTGATAGATACGTGCGCATATCGTTCAAAAGTCAAATATAGAATAAACGCATTTGATTGGTAAACCAAATTCAGACTTTACGTTTCAATCTCAAATGGTAATGCATGAAATTTACGGAAAAGTAAACTAAATAACAGCGCTAATAAGTGGGGGGCGTGGTGGCTTTGGCGATCGGCGCTCCAGTCAATCTACTCCACAGCCAATCACGGGCCCCCTCCTTGCCCTATGGTTAAAACGGCCCTGCATATATTAAATTAAATATAAATATAATCATTTATTTTTATAAAATAGTTAAGTTAGTGACCTGGTGCTGAATCTTAAATATTTCTTATTCATCTTTCATCATAAAATTTTTGTTGAATTATTATTATTATTATTATTATTAATAATATTATTATACTAGATTTTGTATCTCAGGAATGCCACTGTATATTCATTGCAATAGTAATATACTTTTTGATTTTAAGCCAAGATAAAACTGACAAATTTAAAACTCCTCTTTAACCTACCTAAAACCTTATGCATCTTTGGATTTAAAATGTGGCTTTTTTTTTTTCTTTCAAAAATTGGCTTGCAATATTGTTTAAAATCTCCTAAAATCAGCTATAAAACAGGATGGTTGTTTCAAAAAGAGAGATCAATCTTTAAAATTCCTCTTGCAGCAGCTAAATCATGCCATGACCTGCTGTGACCTGCTGTCAAAAAGTCCTTTGGATTTGATCCAGTATTAATGGTTTGACACTGCAGTTAGGTTGTAATCCGCCACAGAATTCTGTTAGGACAGTGACAGTGCCAAAATCAAATGGCATAATTATTTTAATTACAGTAATTATGCATCAGATGGTAAGAACAATATGGAAATAATAGAGAATATGAGTTCAGGAGGAGTTAAGCGGAAAGGCAAGCTCTATTATTCTCTTCAGTCTTTTGCCTGGTGGTTTCATTCACTTTATTTAAAAAAAAAAGGTCTCTTTTATTGTCAGAAGGTCGTCACCCAGGACTTTAAGGTCATGTGGTAAAAGTTCATCCGTAAAGTTCTTCCTCATAATCACCCCACTATTTCAAAACGTTGGTCTCCTGCTGATCAGCAAACTTTGGTCATTTTTTTGCCTTTATAAACAAAGTCCTCCAATCACATTCTATATAGGAAACAATACATCTGTACACTGTAATATTTGTGCAAAATATGTCCATTTGTGTTCCTTAAAAGTCATATGGGTTTGGAACATGAATTTACTTTTGAATGAACTTTGTCTTCCCTTAATCCTCCAAAACCGACTAAATGAAAGTAATAAACAGAGAAGCAGATGCAGTGGGAGAGGCATATAAACTCTAAAAGCCTTCTGCCAATGCTCTAATTAGTACATAATTAGCCTGCATGCCTATTGCATGTGGGTCGGACCTCTGATCCATAACTGTCTATAACTCGATCTGTGCCATTTCAGTCTCATCACTGCAGATTTACAAACAAAAGTAGAACAAAACTGACAGATCATTGGAAAGCAGTGAATTAAAACATAGACAGTGATTTAGTCTTTTTCTGATAGAGCTGGTTTACTCTAAAATGTGCATCCAATTACCTTGATCAGCCTGAAAAAAGTCTAATATTTCTGAGTGATTTGAGCTAAACAAGCAATATCGATGACCATTGTATAGGGTCCTATATGGTCCTTTGAGTTTTCAGTTCATATAAAATCATTATTAGATATTAGAAAATAATTTTTATGAGAATTTGTCCCTGGTGTCAAAACAAAACAAACAAAAAATTAAATAAAATTTGTTTACATTTTAAATTATTTTATTTTATTTTTGAATGTATTATTTTTCATGGTTATTCTCATTTTAAATTAAATTAAATTAAATTAAATTATTAAATTAAATTAAATTAAATTAAATTAAATTAAATTAAATTAACTATTTTTAATGATTAGTAATAATGTCAAGATGTTAATAAATACTTCCCATCAGTTTTTATGGGAGAAAAAAAACAAAAAATTCTTGAGAATGACCCTTTGGATCAGATTTGAACAATGTCAACAACCATTTCAGAGGTTTCGGTCTTTCCCCATCCAAGTAAATAGGAGCTGAATTTCCAAGCACAGAAAACAGCTATCCTGGGGTAGTGACCACGATGGCCACCAAGAGAACTGACTAACCTTTAAGACAGTGATATTTTGTAACTGCTCACTGTTTAGTTCTAGGACTGATAAGAAAGTCTATTAAGCTGTCAACAAGTTAACCACACAATACCTCCATTCCTTTTAAGCCAACATTGTTTTTGGTTCCAACAGTCTACTGCCAAACTCAACCATGTTAATACTTTAAAAAGATGAAAGAAACCTCCCTAAAGAGGGCTCTGTCCCTTGGGAGAAAGGCCACAATACAAGCAACAATGGCTTTGACGTGAAACACCTTTACACCTTTAGCTAGGATACCCTACACTGAATGGGTTTGCTGAGGGAAACTGCCTGCCTATTCACTAGCAACAGAAGTAAAGTCTTGGCTCATCTTTCTGTTAGCTTTTGTCTGTCTGTCTACACATTGGTTTTGGTCCTTTCAAGACGGTCTGTGCACCTGTTAGGCCATACAAACGTCTACACGCGTTTACAGTGTATCAGAGTGTCACGTCTAGTCATACATGCTAATTATAGCTCACCCAGGGCAGCTTTTCTGAGCTAATTTAGCACGCTCAGGGAGTATTGACAGCAATGAAGTGTATTTTGTTTCTTTAGATTACCCTAACAAAAATGACCATGGTAACCACAATTTTTGCCAAAATACAATTGATAGAGTTACTGACATTGTTGTGTTGACGTTTCTTCCATTGTGAAAAAGAAATACTTTAGCATACTTTTAAAAAGAACACTTATCACTGAAATAATTTACTCAATGTGAACTAATGTAAAATATTTTCGAGCACTTAATTGCATGTTATTTTTGATTACCTGAAAAAGTATTATTTAAAAAATGGTGAATGTACCTTCAGTTAGCAGTCTTGTTAGCAAGTGCTAACTAGTTTAGAAAAGGACTGAATGGAATAGCTACTAGCACACTGCTCTTACTATTTCTGCCAGTTCAACCCTTATGAAAATGAACCATAGTTTTATTATAGTAAAAGTAAACCATGTTTTTTTTTTTGTATATTCATTACCATTTGTACAACCACAGTTTTACTACAAATACCATGGTTAAATTATGGTTAGTGTAGCAAAACCATGGTTAATTTGTGGTTACCATGGTCTAACTATATAACCATGGTTTTGGGGTTTTATTTGATTAATTTACATGAGGGAATACTTTACTTAACCAGTTAGTTCTATGCTAAGCTAGAACACTGCTGAAGTCAGTGGAGAGGCGGCCATTCACTCGCTCCTCCCCATTGAACTGCGCCCATGTCCGTTCTCATGGTCTGGCCCATTCACCGTTTCAATACAAACACAACAATAAGATCAGTGGCTCAGCCGTGAGAGGCACGGCGGTACTTCAGGTCCATGCATTGTAACGCCTTGCTGCCTGCCTGATTGCTTTTGTCTGACAGGACCCATATTCCCTTTCACCCAATCAACAGCTCTCATGTGAGCCAAGAGTTTTACGCATGGGCTTGATTTCCTGGTACATGGTGTAACAGAGAGTGAATGAAATATAAAAAGGACCTGTTGCATTCTATACAATGTGGCGAGGAGGTTTGGTTACTCTGTACTATCCTCGAAAGTAGTGGAGTTTAGCAGACATTTTGCTAATGAAATTCAATAGCTTTTAAGCTTATATGAAGCTGTAAACATACAATATGGTGGTTCTTATAAACCACTTACCTTTCATTTTTAGAAATTACATTAGGGCAAAGGTCTATCCACACTATAATGATAACTATATTAGCGTTCACATCAATGGACAATAACGTTCTATTTATTATTCGCGAGCACTGCGAGTTTATCAACTGCTGGTTTAAATGCCTGTGCTTTTTAAGTTCTAATTGGTTGTCAATGTTTTTATTGTTCATTAAAAAATATTGTTCTCAAAGTGATTCCAACAATATTGCTCCTTTGTGTTTTTATCAGTATAGCTATGTTGTGGGCAGAGGAGAACTGGTTCCCGAACTGACCCTGGTTTATCCCAAGGTTTTTTCTCCATTTCTGTCACCGATGGAGTTTTGGTTCCTTGCACCTGTCACCTTTGGCTTGCTTAGTTGGGGACGCTTGACTGATTGCACAGACACTATTGAAAGAGAGCTGAAGTGGATGATGACATCACTGAATTATCAATGAACTGACTTTAGCTGGAAAATGACTCTTTGTGATTGTCCTCTTGCATTATTGACAAACTATTTTCCTGTTTGACACTGTAAAGCTGCTTTGACACAATCAATATTGTATAAGGCGCAATATAAATATAGGTGACTTGCCTTCTCTTCACTATTCTCTAATAATTAGGACAGTTATTAAAGGGGTCATATGATGTTGCTAAAAAGAACATTATTTTGTGTATTTGGTGTAATGAAATGTGTTTATGCGGTTTAAGGTTCAAAAAACACATTATTTTCCACATACTGTACATTATTGTTTCTCCTCTATGCCCCGCCTTTCTGAAACGCGTCGATTTGTACAAAGCTCATCGGTCTGAAAAGCGAGGTGTGCTCTGATTGGCCAGCTATCCAGTGCGTTGTGATTGGCCGAATGCCTCAAGCATGTGACGGAAATGTTACACTCCTTAACATACTGTGATGCTTTGTCCCGGAGGTACGAGACAAAAACATTAAAACCCATTATAAACGAGGCATTTGTTGCATCCAGTGGGGACATAATTACGGATTATAATGACTTATACTGTCTTTTGCCGCATAAACGTAAAACCATGTCTGCATTTGTGATCGGAGAAACGACAAACAACAAGCCCTACTCTACTCTGCTCAAAACTCGTTTGGAAGGCCAAACTAAGTATTTTCGCTTTCGCAACAAAAAACACAGCGTCTTCACAACATGGTGGCGGCGGCGGCAGCAACAATAAAATTACGCCTTCTTTCTTTGTGTGAACATTTGGGCGGCATTATGCAAATCTTCCCACATCGTGACGTAGACATGTGGGGGCGTGTTTAAACGAGGTGTTTTAGGAGGGCGTGGACCAGTCTTAACTTTTATAAAGAATATCTCTTTGGGTTTGAGACTTTAGTCTTTGCAACTTTAGGGATCTTATCTATTCACGAACAGCTTGTAACACTCTAAAGAGAAAGGAAAACTTGAAATCGCATCATATGACCCCTTTAAAACTTCAATTACATTTCAAAATACATCTCACAATACATTATGGGAAAAAAAAAAAAAAAGTAATCCTCGTAAAGCCCAAGAATGTGAATGCATATGCCTAAAGCTACACAAGCTTGTTTTCTTGCATTGGAATGTGTCAAAAATGCAGTTCAAAATGCAATGCAAGCAAACTTCGCATTCTCAATGTCCCCACAAGAGGCACTATAGCGAGCATTTACAGAAACTGACTTCTTCTATGGTCAGTTTTTTCTTTTTATTTAATATTGTCATGGCGGAGCAAGTCTGTCAACATACAGCAATTTCAACATATTTCTGACAAAAAACATTGAATTAAACATTCCCTTTTCTTCGTGTTTTCAGTTAGCCTTAACAAGTTTTAACAAGCTAACAGCTTAGCAGGCTAACTGTTTACAAAAAGGTACAGGTTTTTAGTAAACAGTTAGTGCTATGCTGAGCTTTTAGCTAGCTAAACAAGGTATCATAATATTTTAATGTCTCAATGTCCCCACATGGGGCATTATAGCAAGTAGTTATAGAAACTGACTTCTTGTCATGGAGCAATAGTTTAATAAACACAACAGTTCACTCACTTCACCTATCAACATCGTTGCAGCTATTTCATCATATTTTTGACCAAAAAAAAAAAAACATGATTTAGTAAAGACATTTGAAGGTAACTCTCTGGCCCATTTTAAGGAATAGTTCACTCATAAATTAAAGCTCTGTCATTTTTTACTCACCCTCATGCTCATGCTCATCAAATATGTACGACTTTGTTTTTTCTGTGGAACATAAAAACAATATTTTGAAAAACGTGTAGAAGATTTTTATTAATCCAAATAGGAATTAATCAAGTATAATCAAGGCGAATCTAGCCATTAATATATCCAGTTATACTTCCATTATAATCCCATATGCCTGTGTGTAAAAACATGCCTACGTGGCAGAAAGTACAGACCTCAGATGAGAAACATCTGGAAAAAACATAAGTGGGGACTTTCTTTAACATAACAAGACTAGAGAGGGGGGGGGCTTTCTCTCTAGGGAGAATGGTATGCATAAAGGAAC